TCTTACTTTGCTACTACTGTCTACACTAAAAATGGAAAAATAAAAACTTTTAACAAAAAAAAAAATTAAAACCGACTTCAAACCAAAGCACTAAAAAGAAAAAATAACTGATTGGTAGTTTTCATTTACTATACATACCTGATCAAATATTTTCGAAGTCGGTGTGCTTTGGCCAAGTAATCAAAGCCTACCTATTAAATACATACCTAATCAAATATTTTCGAAATCGGTGCCGCCCATACAAAGCAAAGCACACCGACTTAAAAAAACAACAATAAATATATTTTTTAATAAATTGCTTAATCGAATATGTTATTAAAAAACCTTCTTCTTACAAATTACCTGCTTATTACGTCTACACTAAAAATGGAAAAGTAAAAACTTAAAAAAAAAACCGATTTCCAGGCACTAAAATGTAAAAAATAACTAAACGGAGGTTTTCATTTCAGTTGGCTTTGTATAAAATAAAATTAAAAGATATTTTTTTTTTACTAAAATAAGATTTTTGTTAAATCGCATGATATGAAAACTGAGTGAGTGAAATAGTTTCTACAATTGAAATGGTACAACGTTTTGATTGTAAGAGTGCAAGAAAATAAACTTTAAAATTTGGTCTTACAGTTTACAGAAACCCGATCGATTTTTTATTATAGCCATCTTAAATATTTACGGCGTCCCTCATAATTTGCTGCCCTGATCCCACAGGCCTACGCCTAAGTCCGCTACTGTTCATACAGTCCTATAGTTCTCTACTTGAATAATTTAAAGCTTGTCAGTTGAACCATCCTGCTACCACCGCTACGACGCTTCTCTAAAATGCGCTGTCCAAACCTGATTTCACACTCTATACCGACAGCTTATCGAAACAACAAAATGACGGACACCGCGGGTCTTATATTCCAATTTTATTGTAAAATCATCATCTTAAAACGTAGCATATTTTGATTTCATTTGTTTCGCATTTTTCTACCCGACTCTCAGTCAATTTCTCTATTGGTAAGTTTTTTTTATTATAACAGAGAGCCCTTGTCACACATGTTTCCATATAGGAGGTTCCTGTGATGTTAATATGATCGCCTTTACACGATTCCTCGTTCATGGTGCTGTTGAGAATGTGGTAGACGAGTGGGAAAGCGCTCATTTTGAAAAAATAAGTGAAGCAAGTTCAAATCTCAGATTCCGTATAACTGACATTTTGATGTGCGAATCATTTTCAACATGATTACCACTTGCCTTACGGTAAAGGAAGAACATCATGAGTCGTGTCGTCAAGCATCGTGAGTAAACCTGCATGTCTGAGAGAACCTACCTAGTTTGCGAAAGACCTAAGCTTTGTAAAGCCCACCAACCCACACTTGGTCAGCGTACTATGGACGGATTCCCCTCGCAACCTACAACGCGAGGGATGCAGTGACCAGTAGTCGGATATTAAATAAGTGCTGGATGAGAGGAGGTTTTAAAGGCTAATCGAGACAAAACCTATCCACTATCACATTTTGCCTTCAATATGTATAATCAGATATTGATTTTTGACTCACTTCATAAAGAAGAAGACGAGTTGAGTACTCTTCTTCTTCGTTTGGGAGTATGGTTTTATTTTATTGATATTGAAAATAGGTATACATATAGAAACCGATACTATGATTCTTTTTTTAATGTGTCAATTAAATTAAGAATGCTCCTACGAAATAATAAAGGTTTGGAAACGGGTTACACAGACGTAAATTTATGAAAACTTGGTTAAAAAGTCATTATTGTGAAAATATAATCTCAGCAGTTTCGGCATTCAACGGCTGTTGATAGATCGCTGCGGGGGTCTCACTAATTTGTCGCACTGTTTAGATGCATTTGCGAGCGGGGTCTTGAGTACGATCGGCTGTAGTTACAAGTAGGCACTTGGTTTAGTTCGTTTGATTGTTATCCTTTGTTTAGTTTGTGTTTATAGTACGTATAAAGCCAAGTGTAAGAGGGAAGCCTCTAGATGATATTTCGTATTTTACTAAAAATGTATAAAATTTACAGCATGTTATTAATAATGCAGATTGGTATTGTATTGTGTCTGAATATGGATGTACACAAACATAAAAGATTAGAGGTATAATAAAGATAGATTAGAGATAGAGAAGCTATTTTATTTGCTTACACACACATTATATATATATATATATATATATATATATGTATATATATATATATATATATATATATATATATATATATATATATATTTGATGTTACAGTTCCTTTTCAGTACATATTTAAAACACATATTTTATCTTCTTAGATTTAGTTTACAATTAAAGAAATGGTACTTTATTATCTTGGTATTCATTTTATTTTCATTCATTCATTTAATAATTTAAAAACAATAATTAATTATTGATTTCCACAAGTTGAAGCTGCAGCTTTTGTTAACAAGACAACTAAAAAGTAATTTCGCATAATAGAAAACGAATGTGACTGAGAATAATGCGGCGCAACCCCGCCGCTATCGGAATTGCAAATATGTACATCGCTCATTCCACGCCCTTTTCATTTACGAAAATAGCAACCGACTTGATCTTTGATTTAAATAATCTAATTCGGGTGTTTTAGTAATATGTTTGTTATTTCAATGACTGCTGTCCGTGATTGATTGACGATCAAATTATGTACGTACATATATGTATACTAGCATTGCCCGTGGCTCCACCCGCGGTCAGATGACCAAAAACCAAATTCTTAGGTTTTACATATTAGTATACTCTTACATTGCAGTATTTGTATTTTTTCTCAGAAATGAGATATTGTCCCGCGGTAAAAAGTATCCTATATGTTGACCGGGGTAACCAGCTATCGCCATACCAAATTTCATCAAAATCCCTCCAGAGGTTTTTCTGTGATGAGGTAACAGACAGACAAAAATTGTAAAAACTATAGATTCGGCCTTTGTATCGATAATAATGTTTATTTATATAAGATTTTTCTAAAAATATCTAATGTACAGATTCGGCTTAGATACAATTTTATTACCTATATGTATTAGATTAATAAACAATATTTTTAATTATTAGTCCATGTTAAAATCTAACAGTTAACTACTAGATGGCGGCGCTAGATGATATTTGGTTTGGTAAATATAATAACGGTTAATTTATATTTCCAAAGGTAAAATATTAAAAAAAGCATAATATTACCTCTTTGTTAATAATTTCATTACAGTTATGAAATTATTTGCACGATGTCAGAATTACCATTATTTTGTACCCTTTTATCTATGATTTCAATAGACAATTCATAGAACTTAGTTCTTCGTTGAACTTATAGATGATCTAAGCAAAAAACATATATGTACTATTTTTATACCGCAAAAGAAGTATGGTTGACACAGAGTTAAGTAAAACAGGATGTTTGACGGAATTTTACTGGCAGTAAAACAATTCAGACGAGAGCTGTATTGGCAATTAGCAATTTGACAATCTTCTAGCCTTAATGTTAATTATATATCGAACAAAAACCAAAATTAATCAGTATGACCTTTAAAGCAATTCAAATTAAAATGTAGAAAGTGTTTTGTGATGACTATTATTAAGAATTAATTCGAAGTTTTTTAATGAAAAATAAAAGCTTAAGGAAATTATTAGATTAGTGACGTAACCTCTTGTAGAACAGACACTTTAAATGTAGCTAGTGACATGTAGTTTTAGACAATTTAAAAATATATATGTACAATACCTACTTTTAAAAGTTTCAGGCAACGTAGGCATAAAAATGTGGAATACTAGCAGAGCCCGCGGCTTCAACTCGCGGCTAAAACTACAAAAAAATCTCTAAAAAGGTTTCATACAAACTTTAATTCCCTATTTTACGCTCTTATAGGATGAATTTTGAAAAATGCTAGTACAGTACGTGTCTTAGCATTTTCCAAAATTCATCCTTATTTAATTTTGTTGAAGAGTATATACTCGTATACCAAGTTTCAAATAATTCTGATAATAAATATTTTTTTTTAATTTTATTAAGTATAACGTGTTTTCCCGTGGGAATTAAGTAATCTCCCGCGATAAAAAGTAGCCTATGTCACTCTCCAGCCCTTTAACTATCTCCACACAAAAAATCACGCCAATCCCTCACTCCATTTCGACGTGAAAGAAGGACAAACAAACAAACACACTTTCATATTTATAATATTAATATGGATGACATATATTATTTATTGGCAAAACACGTATCACTTTGTTATCCTTTTTTTAAAATAAAATAAAATGGTGTATGTAAGTACAACTTGTGTCGCGATATTAAGAATAGGGTTCCGTGTGTTATTATTTAAAACTTAGGATTTAAGCAATTGCTATAAGAGCAGGATGATAAAGGATCATAACGATGTTTTGGTTGGAGAAATTCATGCGAAAACATTAAGATGTTCTCGACGTCCCCCAACCGGGGATTGCTAAAACATATTTATGCAAAAATTATAACGAGAGAAACACTCGAATTCAAGCTCTTCAACTCCCGCAAAATAACGAGTAATCGGCTACCGCCGCCATAACGCGAGCCACGAATGTTTAGCCGTGGAACTATGAAAAGCGACCCGCTGTGAATGCCCACTCTCCACCATTTTCATGCAAATTAAAAGACACAAACGCAGTCATAGACAAGATTCCCGCGCGCGCTAAAACACACCATTCAAAAACGTATTCAATTGCTCGAGAGCGAAACGGAACGCCCCGAGGCATTAATTAGAGCAGAAACTCGTGTCTATGGTCGTTCCTTTTTTAAAACTGACGTCTTTATGTGGCCCAGCTTTTGTGCACCTTTCGTTTGTGCGAGTGTCAAGTCTTAGTTTCAAGCGATGCTTAGCGTTTGTTGTCTATGGTTTGCGGTATCGGTGCGGTAATCTTCTTTTTGTATAATTAAGAAACATTTTATTTTTGTACTTTTGTGTTCTATATTGCAGATATTCATTAAATTTGTAACTGAATAAAAATATAATAATCAGTTTAATTTCTTATTTTGTTTAGGAACTGCACACGAGGTAGAAGATATATCGAACAATAGATGCGATTCGGCTATAACACACAATCCAGAGGACTCTGATATTGACGATGACATATCCGTTGGGGACAACCGCTCTGAAGCCTCGACGCCTAAAAAAATCCAAGTCTCCTACGAGAACGAACCTGAAAATTATGAAAGAAAAACCGACTGCCAAAAAAGAATCGAGTGTGACGAAAGGTCTACTCCAAACGAATACACGAATCGCTTAAATTCCGAGTATTCTTCTCCGTTTAAAGACGATGAGCACGAATATGAAAGACCTGATGAGTCAATGAAGCTATATGAAGGATCACTTTTTCAATTATATAGACCGGATAGAGAAAACAACAAAGATGGTGAAAGCGCGTTTGAAATAGCCGGCTCTATATCGGACAGTATCTATGGAAGATCTATGGATTTAAGTAAGAACTCCTTCCAATCACAATTGTTGGCTGGTTTCGCAGCGTCAGTGATGGCGGGTAGTTCACAGCGCGAAGCACAAGACTCAGCAGGTATAAAACTTTTAAAGCTACATATTTTTCATAATAACTTCTTTAGCAGTCTATAGTAGATGTACTTAATTAAAATTTCAAGTGTAAGATAAACATAATAATGGAAATTTATTTATTAAGACCATTTAAGTTTTAACGTACTATTTTTAATACATTTTAAACCAAAAGCCACTTTGGTATCATTTTTCTTTTGTCACAGTATGATAAATTGTACTGTTATTGTTTTTAGTTCTGTGGTATGGTGGGTCTACTTATTTAAATGGAAGTATTTATTTGCAGATTATATATCGGAAATCAATTCACTTATTATAATTGAACTGCTTAATTATATATGATTGGCTTTAGAGTATATAAATACATTGAAATCTACACTACTATTATAAAGAGGAAAGATTTATATTTTTGTATGTTTGTACCGAAAAAACTCGAAAACTACTGTACCGATTTAGATGAAATTTGGTAAGAAGATAGTTTGAAATCCCGAACGACATAGGATGTGTGTGGAATCAACCTTGCTAGTTTTAAATATAAAGAAGTATACAATTTTGTAAATGAAATGTCCACGTTTGCTGTAGATCGTCAGTCGTCAGGGCGGAGCGGGAGCACGCCTAACTCCGGGCGCAAGCCGCGCCGCCGTCGGACTGCCTTCACTCACGCCCAGCTCGCATATCTAGAACGCAAGTTCAGATGTCAAAAATATTTAAGTGTAGCTGACAGAGGAGATGTCGCCGATGCATTGAACCTCAGTGAAACGCAGGTCAAGACTTGGTACCAAAATAGACGGTAAGATTATTAAATAATTACAATTTATTTCTAATTAAATTTCCAAGATTGATATTTAACGAGGTCTTTAATGTTATGCTATTGATGTGCTAACAGGAATTTAGAAGAGCTTCGGTAATCAGTTCTAATAAATATCAATATACATATTCAAGTTTCTGGGTTTGAGTCTCGTGTCGGGCCAAGTTTTGTTATTGAGTTTTTCTGTGAATAAAACTGGCGTTGGAAGTTTGGCAGAGTTTCACGCCCTTGCCTCGGAAAGCACGTAAAGTTGTCATCGGTACTGTGCCTTAACTCTCACACTGTCGTGTCGAATTGTCGTCCTACCGGAGTATAAGAGTGACAGAAACAGGAACAGAAAGTGCACTTGTGTTTACGCGCAAATTTTTGCATTATAATAACCTCAACGCACATAACTAGCTTTAGTAAGATTGCCAGTATTTGCTGAAATTGATCAGGAGGACATTATATAGTATGATATTAATAAAAACAATTTCTTTTAGAACAAAATGGAAACGCCAAAACCAACTTAGACTGGAACAGCTGCGTGCACAAGCAGCGACGGGTGAACGAGAACTGTCTGCGCACGCGCTGCCCCTGGCCTGCGCACTCCTCCCTCCGTACCCAGCGTACATGCACTGTCATCTATAAGGAACATTAAGAAAACTAGAGAAAAAGGTCGGTTCACACTTTGTAAATGACCAAATAATGCACAAAATGTTACGAAATGTTGGATGTAGTCTATAGCGAAATTAATACTTAAGTTGTCTTTACATAAATTTTTTTTCTAATGAGCGCGTAAGTTAAATATGCCTTTTTATTTAATTAAGAAGTTGTTCCGCGTAACAGGATTCCATCTTTATTACTGTAATAGAAATATCTTTTTAAAAATCAATAATTTAAAATATTATTTAAGTACAAACGTTCCTATTTTATGTTTTTCAAGTTCTAATTATGTATTTATATCATAGTTAGTTTGGTGGTCCTTACGTAAATACACATATGAAAGTTCAAACGTAATTTTCAGTTATTTACTACGTATAGGTATATTTGGACTATGAAATGCTCTTATACGTGTAAAATATTTATGTAGATGGACTGTTTTGGGTGTTATGTTTTTGTGAACTATGTACTCGGCCTTTCCAAACACTCTTCTGTAGAATATTATCAGACATGATGATAATCAAAGAAGCGAAAGAGGTATGAAACGTGCGTGGCACTCTGTTCTCTCTTGCTCACTCTGCAAGAAATAAATCGTATGCAAAATTTCCAATCTTATGTTATTGTTGTATCAGTTATATTACTTTTTTACTTTGTTGACATTTTATTTTATTGTTAATTACTTATTAGTTATTATTGACTTTGTTGTATAAAAACATGATAATATTCGACAAGTTGTCCTGACTGTTGTACGTACATTCTAAATGGTTGAAAGCAAGATTTTTTTACATTAAATATATTTCTTGTATTCCTCATCATTACTAATTACAACAAAAACAAAAAAACTAAAAACTACATTGTAAATGTTTAAAATTCTATATTGTTTTTATTTTCAATTACTATTTTTTATAGGTACTATGATTTTTTCTTTTTCCTCATGGCTTGGGACCGGTTTAAAAACGGTTTATTTCGGTAATGTAATGGTTAATTCATTGCTCGTTCTTTAACCGGTTAATAAAAACGAACGGTTTAGTAAACTGAAATAACGGTTAACGGTTATTTTTAGAGAAAGGTTGGATTTCGGTGTAAACAGGTTAATTCATTCATAAGAAAGAAACGTGCATGCATTTTTACCGGTTAATTTTGTTCATGGATCCTAAATTCGTCAAAAACCGTTCTCCCGGATTTAACCGGTTAAACAACGTAACCAAAACCTTAAACCGAAAAGCCTCTCGGTTAGGGGTCAATGACCAAAACCGGTTTAAAAATTGAACGGGTTTTCGAGCCCTGTTTTTTTCCGTTTCGAATAATGTACCAATAACACAAATTGAAGAAATTTATAAAGGACATGGAACAGTATTGTTGTTGTATTTTGTGTTAAAGGTTTTACTAATGATGGTATAAGTAGCTACTTACGATTTTAATATCGACTATAATATTATATTGAAATATAATTAATTAATTTGGTACATAAAGCCTGAAAATATATCAATTAAATACAATGAAGAAATTTCGAACAAAATGGCCGACGAACTACGCTTTTTATTTAATCGATTTCGCTTACCTAATGTTATATATATGAAAAAGTATCTATATAAGACGACAACGTTTAAAAAATAGATAAAATTTAGAAAAAAATAATTTTAGTGTCAATAAATTAAGTAGTGTATTATAACATTATAAAGTGCAATAATTAAGGTAGATAAACGATAATGTAATGAATAATATACGAGTATAACCCTGTACATTTACTTTCAGTTACTTGTAATATGTAGATTGTAATAAAACATATTGCTTATGTACATTAGTAAAGATATTATATAAATTAAAATGATTTTTATTGATTTGCCTTAATACATATTCATTTATTTATAAAATATATAAATCCTATAAAATTATTATGCCAATAGATAGACATAATTTACCAGAAAATTTAGATAAACTTTTATTTATTATGTTAAAAATAAAAATTGCCATCTTACGTCAAGAATACTTATGCAAAATACACTTTTATGTCGTATAGGTCTATGACAAAGTAGCGTGTAACTACAACCTTCTTATCCATTTACTCTTATTATTATTTACTTTACTACAATACATAGTTGTACACTATTATACATGTACATATTATCGCCTTTGCGCTTATTTGTACAAACGACCAATTAAGACTAAGTGCAGTGAGTGTTATTTCTTCTTTTTTTTAAAACAAAGCTTTATTTGTAAGATTTATAATCATATATAGACAAAATACATATTTTCGGCCTTATTTAAAGTTCATTTTCGGTAAATTGGTCGTTTGGACTGAGATAACGCTATATTGCTACGTATGTAATTTTATTAATATATTTATTTAATGTAATTTAATATTTAACTGTTACTATTTAATTAAAACAAAAAGGTTTGTATTTAAAATGTGGTCGAATTTTAAGGAAGGAAGGCCTTAACAGTTAGTTAATAAACATAAAACTACATTAATTCGAATTTTCTTTTAATTAACGAAACGAATGAAATAAAATCGTTTGATAGTCTCGCTATTCACGTGTAGATACGTTATGAGAGCTCGATTCCAAATAACATCCCCAATACAGCACTAACGACTGCAATCATTGCGACTAATAGGCTACCGCAATTACCTATTTAATATCATTTGAACGTGAATCAGAAACCATTAGAGTCGGCAAAACGACGATACAAAATTACGCAGCGTAATCATCCCTCGAGCCTTTGAATTGAAACCGAACATTTCCATTCGCAACAAATTATGCAAATATTTTGGCGCCATTTCGAATCACCGCTGCCAACCGCTGTCAATTTGCATCTCTTAGCGACTTGTTAACATTTATAACGCTGTGAAGCGCTTTATTTCGCTGTCATTTATACTTTTTCTATTAGTCGGTTTTTTTTTGAAGCGGTGTTTTCGCTGGGTAGTTTGGATTGCAAAGTTGCACGAGGTCTCGATGTCAAATTATCTGTCAATTTATTCAAACGAGATGCTAATTTCAGAGTTCTCGAAAATTGTGATTATTTATCTGTCTTTATTTCAGTTTTGAGCAAACGAGGGTTTATTAAAGGGGTCGCCGCGTAATTGGGCTGTTTTGATCGTGGGGATACCTAATTGAAGTATTTTCTAGTGTTTGAGGGGTTCGACATGAATGGATTAGTTAGTTGATAGATAACGATCTGTAAGGCGATGGGCGAGTTTCTTCTATTAAGTAAAGTATTAAGTTGTTATTGCAGTGTAATGTAATAGTGTGTAATTTAATTAACTTCGTTTGTTGAATGGTCGATTATATGGTACGGCTTTATTATGCAATCAAAACAAATTGCTTCTGATCTTTAGCTATTATGTTAAATCATATAATAAATATATTTTTTAGTTATGTTTTATATTAATTAAAGAGATTTATAATAGGACACTTGCGTTTTGTAGAATCAGGGTGAGTCGCTAGTACAATAGTATAATAACCAGAAACTTATCGATCTCATTGGATTTTGTAATTAAAAAATCTAGCCATGTTTCTGTCATGCTCTGCGTACCATAGCTATCAACTTTTAGATATCTGAAATTAAACATATTCAATCGTATGTAAAATGTTGTTTAGTAAGCTACATATAACATATTTTTTGTTACTAAATACATTTGTGAAAAATGGAAAAACTCAAAAAGATGGGACGTATGACGATAAAAATAAAGCAAATATTGGAAGAAGATTTTTAGAAGACTTAGACGATAAAGAATGGCATGTTGCACATTTAAGGACTATGGACTTATCTCATGATGATTGTGAAAAAACCTTCGAAGATAAAGCAAAAAAGTATAGAGACACATTGAAAAATGACGCGGCTTTAGTTAAATTCGTTTCTGGAGATGCTATTCCTGCTCAAACCCACAATTTATCTAGAGATAAATGTGAAAGAAATTTAAGTAATGCTTTTTATTCCAATGTAAAAAAGAAAAATGTCTTGAAAATGAATGAAACTGAAATCAAAGATCAATCCAAAAATTTGACAAGTTTAGATGGTGATGTAGATTCAGCAACTACTGCTAATAATTTAGCTACGCACGGCTCGAACACTGTAAACCGAACACAGCAAAGGCGCAGCGAATATCAATTTAGTTCTGTCGAATACTACGATGACGTCCAAGATTTTGATGAATCAATTTGCCCAAATACTGTTGAAATAATTGAGTTAGAGATAGATCAGCTGCGTAGTTACGATGTACAATGTGAGGCTATCGTTGAATGGAGAAGCTTAGAGTAGAGCTACTACTGCTAAAGAGTTACCTATATGGAATTAATAATTCATAATTCATTTTAAATAAAACTATCTTTGCTGATTTATTTTGAATTTTGGTTCCCGGCGTTTGGAATGCTTTACAGCGGGAGAATCTTTCCCGTGCCTTGATGAAACCCGTAAAAAAACCCCAAAAAGATAGTTTTATTTAAAATGTCAAATGTTAAAGAAAGTATCGTATTCATTATAAAATAAAATAAATTAAAAATAAATAACAATTAGTACTGATTAAGCATAAAAGGTATATGTAACAAATAAAACTATTGTTAAAAGCAATTGGTTTTATTAGCAGTCTTTAATTATAAACTAGCGGCTCACCCTCGCTTCGCTCGGGTTCGTCGCTAGGTACGTTTTAAATAGATATAAAAAGAAAAAATCTTTCTTTCTCACATTTTAATTATATGTTTTAATACTTACCTATTCCGGACTAAGAGAAATCCAAAAATTAAAATATCATAAAAATTGGAACGCGGTCGAACGGGATAAAAAGTATCCTATGTCCTTCTCCTGGCTCTAAACTACCTCCCTGCCAATTTTCAGCTAAATCGGTTCAGCCGTTCTTGAGTTATAAGCGAAGTAACTAACACGACTTTCTTTTATATATATAGACTAGCGGCTCACCCTCGCTTCGCTCGGGTTCGTCGCTAGGTACGTTTTAAATAGATATAAAAAGAAAAAATCTTTCTTTCTCACATTTTAATTATATGTTTTAATACTTACCTATTCCGGACTAAGAGAAATCCAAAAATTAAAATATCATAAAAATTGGAACGCGGTCGAACGGGATAAAAAGTATCCTATGTCCTTCTCCTGGCTCTAAACTACCTCCCTGCCAATTTTCAGCTAAATCGGTTCAGCCGTTCTTGAGTTATAAGCGAAGTAACTAACACGACTTTCTTTTATATATATAAGATAAGTCAATCTATAATATATGTATATATATTTGGTAAAACTTATGTGTTTAAATATACCTACAAGTAGCTTTCTAATAAATAAGATACTAAAGCCGAGCTTTTTAACAGCTTATTAAATAAGGTTTTTGTTTATATATTACATATTTTCAATAGTTTTATCCACGTTCCTCCTCTCCTAAAGATTATTGCGACCGCCCGTCATAACTATACTATGAAATGCACAATTTTTTTCATTAAATTCTTCAGTTTATATAATACTAGCAGAACCCGCGGTTTCGCTCGTGCTAAAACTACAAAAAAAAATCTCTTGAAAAATGGTTTCATACAAACTTTCATCCCTTATTATACCCCTTCATCGGATGAATTTCGAAAAATGCGAAAACACGTATTTGTTTAATTTTATTGAAGAGCATTAATACCAGGTTTCAAGTAATTCTGATCATAAATGTTTTGTTGGATTGTATTATATAGCGTTTTCCCGTGGGAATTAGGTAATCTTCCGTGGTAAAAAGTCGTTTATGTCACTCTCCAGCCCTCCAACTATATGCACATAAAAAATCACGCCAATCTGTCACTCCGTTTCGACGTGAAAGCAGGACAAACAAACAAACAAACAAACAAACACGCTTTCACATTTATTAGTATGGATTTGGATAGATTAGGGACAGTACCCCTAATCCCTTCACGACCGCGGACACGCCGGCATAACAGTTAACAATAAATATCTTAGAAATTTAATTAATTTCTTAGAAATTTACCTGGAGGTGCTAAGCCAACAGTCTGATATCCTATAACATATGGTGAGTAATGATTGTTGTACTGGAATAAGAAGTATTATTCTGTATTAAATATACTTAAAATCTACAAAATCGGAAACACTTCGATTTTTTGTTTTGTTGATACAAAAAGTAAGGGTAAATAATTTATTCCCTCCACGACCGCGGACACGCAGGCGTTACAGTTAACAGTAGTTTTCTTAGAAATGTAATTTATTTCTTAGAAATTTACCTGGAGGTGATAAGGCATGTGCATTAATGGCAGACAACCGGAAAGCTTTAATAGTCACCACGTATTGGGAGATGGCTACTATGATAATACATGACAGCTACAAAATAATTACATAATAATATGTTCATTTTTGTAGCCATAATGTATTTATGGTTGTTTACAACTGGCGTGTCGCTTTATTCTCTAAGCCATACTACTAGTAGCGCCACCTAGTAATTTTTAAAATTTAACGATGAAATAAAGGAGAGGGCGCTAGTTGTATGCTCAGCAAGAATATTATCACACCAACTAATACAAATGATGAGGTCCAGATGTCGCTTTACTCGAAATAATAATTACTAAAAATGTAAAATATTTATTTTAATTTTAATGACATACCTTCTTAAAATATCGACAATAATTATTTCATATTGAAATAAATAATCTTTTGCTGTGATGTAACATGGTCCCTGCAATTATGTCTATCGATATCTATGGCAAGATTACATGACAATATGACATGTTGCAATCTGGAGTAAAATAAATTTCATATTGTTGCCAGATTGGTATGTCGTCAGATTTTAAAAAAAATAGACTAATTAATACAGAAAATGATTTTCGACAGTTTTTCTACTCGTTATTTGCTTTCATATGAAGGAACATAATGAAATTAACGATTTTAAAATTTGTTTTTTAAAGATATAGCGTTGTATAAGATATCAGTAATGAATATAATAAAAATGGGTGGTAATAGCAGTGGTTAGCATAAATGCGGCTGCATATCCAGAGGCTTTGGGTGGGAGTTCCGGTAGTATAATAATGTACTCCTTATAACATATGCTCCCCTAGTATCTTCGTGATAGACGCATGTGAGTGAGTGACGCGAATCAGATGGCGTCCAATGTGGGCCAACTATTTATTATTTCTGAGTTTTATTAAGGATTAGCAACTCGCTATTGTTTTATGCAAGTGAGCACTACAATTCACGGTCTTTTAGTATTTTGCTGTACAATAAATATGTTATGGGAACTACTTGCATCTACCACCACTTGAACTACATAATTAACAATAATGTCATAAAAAAGTCAAGCTTTTAAATGTTCACTGTCGATTACATTTACATTATGATTTTTTGCATTTACAATATTAGTAGTATATAAGGGGAAAGAGAGAAGGGCAATACAGCCATTATTAAATACGACAAGCTTATTCTACTAAATAATTCATCCAAAGAACCGAAAAACAATAAAAGAAACCTATCAAAATCTCCAGAGAATAACACAAACAACCATACCGAGAAGATATATCAAGCAACCAAAAAGAACAAAACCTTGGCCGCCCACAGAGTACAAAGGTCTTCAAGTCTTTCCGAAGGCGTAGAAAAAACAAGCATACTAAACTATCTAACAAATAAAAACAATAATAACAAAACAAACACACAAGCCAACACCACAAATATATAGCAACGAACCAGACAGCCTCTCCCAGAAAACAACAAACAAACTGAAAAAGCTACATCAACACATAACACACATCTTCCAAGCCGGCTGGTCTCCGTGGAAGAGTACGACCACAACCCTCCAGGAAAACCACAAAAACAAAAAACCACTAAACTGAACAAAGACTCTAAGAATTGTATAAAAATTGGAACTTATAATGTCAGGTCTCTGTCATCAATACACCGGTACTTAGAACTCAATAATGCACTGAAAGATATAAACTGCGACATACTAGGACTATCAGAAACAAGAAAAATGGGTTGCCACATAGAAGAGGATTCAGACTATGTTTTCTGCTATATAGGAGAAACAAAGGGATTGTATGGAGTCGGATTTTTAGTAAAAAAGTCATGGAAAAATAATATAACTAACTTTACTGGCATTTCGGAGCGAGTAGCGTTATTACAAATGAAATTTGGCAGACTAAACATATCTATAATCCAGGCATACGCACCTACGGAAAGATCTGACAATACAGAAATACAAAAATTCTACGATGATCTGAAAAAAGCTCACACACTAGCTGATGAGAAAATCATAATATTAGGAGACTTCAATGCAAAAATAGGGCAACCAAGAAAAGAAGAAAAACTCGTCATGGGACAGTATGGGCTAGGTCAAAGAAACGAAAGAGGCGAACGATTGCTAGAATATGCATTTGAATATAGACTAGCAATAATAAACACTTATTTCAAAAAAAGACCTAGCAGAAGATGGACTTGGAAGTCACCAGACGAAAGTGTTAAAAACGAAATTGACTACATCATGACAAATGTCCCAAGATTAATCCAAAACTATGACGTTCTCAACAACGTAAAGTTCAGAACAGACCACAGACTAATTAGAGCAACAGTCCTATTGAGCCAATCAAAAAAAAGTAGAAAAGGTTTTAAACCACCTCTAAAAATACCGAAAACTGAAGAGGAAACAAGACATTACATTGATAGCCTCAAATTGAACATCGAAAACCAACCAGTAGATACCAGAAACGTACAATCTTACTATGATGCGATAGAAGGAACTGTAACAAAGAGTTTAACTAGCCAAAAATATAATAAAAAAGGAAAACGACATAAAATATTTAGTGAAGAAACAATAGCCTTAATTAACAAACGCAGCGAACTAACTATAAGAAAGAATAAGGATGCCAATACAAAGAAAGAACTAAGCAAATTATATAAGGAAACTAGCAAAGCAATCCAAAGAGACTATAGTAAGCACAGACAAAGGATAATAACAGAAAATCTAAACAAATTCAGGAGCACAAAGAAAGCATTTAAAGAATTAAACTTACGAAAAACTTGGATACAAAAATTAGAAGGCCAACATAAAGAAACTAAAACGAGACAAGAAATCATACAGCAGGCAACTTCTTTCTACCAAGAACTATACAAAAACAAAGATAACACCATCGAGGAAACCAACGAATCACACTATTGTGATAACATGGAAATAATCAGACCGATAGAAGAAAAAGAAATATACGCCCAGCTGAAACAACTAAAATCAGATAAAAGTCCTGGTCCCGATGGAATAACCAATGAAGCTTTGAAAATAGGTGCAC